CCACCTCATGCTGGCTTGGAGCCCAGGATGGGCGACAGCTCTAGGTATCAATGGCTCCTCACGTGTGTCAGCCGGCGTGACCGCGCAGGGCAGTGGGGACGCACAGCACAAAAGTTGTGTGCCCCTGTGGGGTGTCGCCACTGGCCTGCCTTGCGAAAGGATGCCATGTCATCCTCACCTGGGGCAATGGCGGGCTGATGGGAAGAGTCCAGTTTAACTGGATGGATGATGTAGATCTACTAAGACTCAAATATACTAGCTTGGTTTTAATAACCTTTCATAAAATGAGGCATCTTGAGACGCTGTTTATAGGATGGAAGTAGACTTCACTCACCGCGTTCTGCCACTGTTACAGTTCTGATGAAGAAGAGCAGCTGGCCATTACAGTAGTGAAGGGATAATGCTGCAGGTGGGCACATGGGGGAAGCTGTCCTGCTCGCCTGGCCAGGAGCTTTGCCCTGTGGTGGCTTCCTTGAAATCAAGACGTTGCATACAGTAGTGAGAATTTAAAAGACACAAACCAAGCCTAGTTACACAAATGCATGATGTAATCAACGTTTGTCTTTTTCTTTGACGTATTTCAAGGTGTATTCATCTTCCACAGATGTCCTGAAACCAAACTTTCAAAATAATAAGCATTAAAATCATCTTGTACCATTCATAGTTCAGAGACAGTTCTCTATTTTCTAACAGGCCTTCTAGAAAGGTGAGTGACAGAGATGCCCTCCACAGTGGCTTGATCAGATAACCAAATGCAGGCCAACAGCCCCCAACCCTGCTGCTGTTACAAACGTGCTTCAGCTCTGCTAGTGGTGTCTGGAAGGAGCTTGGGATCACTCAGCAAGGCATCTGCACAGGACAAGGTTTGTTGTAACGAAGCAGATTGTTTTTTTTGTCACAGCTCTCATACTGGGTGACAGTACTTCAGGTCTTGCATTCAATTTTTAGTTCAATTTGACCAATACAAAGAAGCAGGTTTCTCCATTTCCAATTTATAGATGGCAAGGTTGAAGCTCGAAACCATACAGCACACCATTACCATGGGAAAATCTTTACTGTACTAAATCCCATGCAATACAGATCATCTGCTGGGCTGACAGCATTGCTGAAGTTCTACCAGCATCCTTCTAAATCACTATTGATCAAAAAAAAGATCTATCTGCTCAAAGTAATTGTTTTGAAATGTACTGGTACTTGAAAACCCTTGCTCATTAAATACTTGCATTTAGTAGTGATTTTTGTCTGAAACTTACACTTGAACCAAGTTGGGGGAAAGAAAAAAAAAAAAAGATGAGCAGTGTGCATTACTGGGCCTCTCACAGGTAGCTAAATAATTCAGAGATGCTGATTCTGCAAAAGAAGATGAAAGATTGAGAAACGCAGTCTGATACAGCTGATGTGAACAGTAACACAGGTAAATTAAACTCTCAAATCAACTCCAAAAATCATAGATTTTTCGCTTGCTAGCAGAAAGGCTGAACTGACAAACAGAAACAGCAAACTATGATGTCTCTTGTGAAAATTTATAGCATTAATTAGCATTTTTCTGCTAAGTTAAACCAAGTAGTGCTCAGTGCCAAGACCCGATAAGAACGCCTCAGACAAAGTCTTCACTGCAAACCGGTGAGATTCTAGCTGGCATGACTGCAGAGAGACGCTGCACTCAAGTGCATGCTAAAGGCCTCAGAGTCTTAAGAAACAAACCAACCAACCCACCCCCACCACCTTGAGTTTGGTTAAACGGCAGCCAAATCTCCATCAGAACTTTTGGAAGCCCAACTGGGATGTGATTGCCTAGGATTAGTAATACAAGCTATCACCAACTAAAAAGGTGACAAATAAAATGAATGGTCTTGAAATTAAGGGATTTTGAGGAAAAATGCCAGTAAAGTTTTCAAACTATGCTGATGTTGAGTTGGAATGGGGAATTCCCTTCGTGGATTCGAAAGTGGAAGGGAAACATTGTTCAGCGTGTCCTGCAGTAAATTAGCAGTAACTAATCAGACACAACAGTATGTTGGTTGGATAAACAGTATGTTTATCCTCATACAATTGTTTACTTGTTCTAACTAACGCCGTAGTTGACATTAAAACTTTATGCCATTAAAACTTTACTCCTCAACTTAATTTGCAAAAGAAAAGTAAACTGGATCTTCATAGAAAGTTATTTCCTCGAAAAGTACCAGGGGAAAAAAAAAAAAAAAAAAAAAGAAACTATTTTATCATCCTATGAATAATGCTTGTGATTTATGAACAGGCAATCACATTGACAATTAAAGATATGACAGCAAAATACTTAGGGTTACATATTTTATTTTATTTTATAGTAAGCTTTACACCAGGATCACCATTTTTTCTATCACCCAAATAAGTTACATTCATTCTGAGCTTTCACGCAGTTTTAAAAAAGTTACAATTTCTCAAAAAATAATTTTCAAGTGAGCTGTAATAAACTCTGCATGACCAAGCCAGAATTCTTTCACATCAAGTAAATATTCCAGTTTTCCCTCCTGCTTTGACAGCACAGGCCAATTACAAAAGCCCCTCCAAATTTGCACTAATTAAACGGAGACTCACTGAAATTCCTGCGACTTTCTGAATACCTTGAGTAACAGCAGTAACGCTTCACAGCGCGAGCGAGACCACTGAGCTGATCTGAAGAAGCGGCATTTTGCCCGAGGAGAATACTGAAGTGTCTCGAATGAAAACCTTGTCGCAAAGGGACAGACCAGCACCCAAGAGCATGCAGAACACAAACAGGAGGCAGCCAACCTCACATCGACAAGCTTAACCGCAGCTTTTAAGGGGAGACAGCATTAATGCAGTCTTCTACTATTTCAAAAAGGTAGTGATATATGTCAGTCCTCCTAGCGATGTCGAGGGCTGTTTCGTCCAAGTTGTTTTTCAGGTCCGGTTTCACGTAGCGATTCATCAGCAAGAGTTCGAGGGTTTCTCTGCTGTTTTTGTTCCCTGCAGCGATGTGCAGGGGTGTCAGCAAACCATTGGTCTGCGCGTTGATGTCTGCGCCCTGCTGAAGTAAGAACGCGGCCACTTGCGTGTTGTTCCACTTGCAGGCGCTGTGCAGCGGCGTCCAGCCGTCCACCGTCTGCGCGTGCACGTCCGCCCCCTGCGCCACCAGCTCGTGGGCGATGTCCAGGTGCCCGCTGTAGGCCGCGCGGTGGAGGGGAGTGTACTGGTCCTCGTCACGAGCGTTCACGGGAGCCAGCTTTTCGGACAGCAGCCTCTTCACTGTGCTCAGCTACGGAAAGAAAGCAGGTCATTTAAGACTGAACTCTGCAGATAAGATGTCAGGAGTTTCCTGTTCTGAAGTTTTATGGGAGAACATTTTGCCGGTCTCAAAAAGGCTGAAGTGCAACAAGAAATTTTAAACCAAAACCAGTTATTGTTACTTTGTTACTGGGGTGGCATTTTTTTTTTGGGTGGGATGGGGTTTTGTTGTTTTGGCTTTTTTAGGGTTTTTTTGGTTTGGGTTTTTTTTAAACAGATACAACATGAACAGTCTGTTGCAAAAATACACAGCCCTAGTTCCCCCCACTTTGCTGTAAGCATTTAGCTGAAGTGCCTTAGGAGTGCCTTTGCCTTCCGCCTTCTCCCCAGTCGCTGTGAGGACACGAGTTCCTCCACAGGACTGTAGGTGGAGCTTGTGCGTGTGAGAAAGGTGGCTAATGGACATCAACGTACGCAAGGGCGGAATCAGCTACGCAAGGGCGGAATCAGCTACGTGGCTAATGGACATCAACGTACGCAAGGGCGTAATCAGCTATGTAACAGGAATCTTGGTCCTCTCTCCCTCACTTCCAAGAATAAAAAGCTTTTTTCCCCTCTATAAAAAGACAGGAAAACAGTCACCCATTATTTACATACAGAGCTTTTGAGAAAATAAAGTTTCAGGTACGCCCTCTGCACCCCAGTTAAAAGGCTAACTTGCCATGAAGGAAGAGCCTGGCATGCTCTTGTGGAAGTGTAAGAGTGCTGTTACCTGAACTTTGAGCTGCAGTCACAGCTTTTGTTCTGAAAGCTCATGGATCCAGAGAGATTTCGGGGTGTGGGGGCTACAAAGGGAGATGTTTGACATACAGTGGCTTGCAAAGCCGGATCGAGATAGATCAGAGAGATAAAGGGAAGTGCTGGTAACTTCTGTTTGTGGATGAAGCAGTAGATGTCTGCTCAAAATAACATTCTTGTCGGTGACACATATGAACAAAATAAATGTCTTACCCGATTGTTTTCAGCTGCCCAGAGTAGCAGCTTCTCTGGATGTTTTTCCATTTTTTTTTCTTGCATTTCGTACCATTCCTCACTTCTTTCTTGTTCATCGTCATCATCATCGGACTGCCCAGACCAACAGCTCTGCGTTCCTACAGGAATCAAATGCCTGTGCGTCTCCAGCAGGTCAAGTTGGTTAAAATTCTCCATAAAGTCTTCAAACTGGTCGCTGTCGTCATCATCTTCATCGAGTTGTTTGTCTTTATTCATTTTCAGTCACCGCCTGTGGGCAGCAGACACACAGCGC